GAGCCGCGCCGCGCCAGCCGGGCTGCAGCCGCCGCGCACCGAGGGCTGCTATGGGGCTGGAGACTGAGAAGGCGGACGTCCAGCTCTTCATGGACGACGACTCCTACAGCCGCCACAGCGGCGTAGACTACGCCGACCCCGAGAAGTTCGCGGATTCTGGCCAGGATCGAGATCCGAACAGACTCAACTCGCATCTCAAGGTGAAGCCTGGGGTGGGTTGTAACCTGAGCCTGAGGCTGGTCCAAGCCCCCGCCACGGCCTGGGCATGCGGGTGTCCCCTCTACCCCTGCCCTAACCCCTCACCCTCACCACTGGGTCAGCCCCCGCGGGGTCCGTGACCTGGAATCTACCAGCCGCTGGCTGCCTGCGTAGCCAGGAATTCTTAGCCAAATTCCTGTGCGCCTACCGTGACCCTAATAGAAGATAGGGCATCCCAGCAAGTCCTTTCTTGTTGCTTCTCCCGCAGGTGGGCTTCGAAGATGTGATCGCGGAGCCCTTGTCTGCGCACTCCTTTGACAAAGTGTGGATCTGCAGCCATGCCCTCTTTGAAGTCAGCAAATATGTGATTTACAAGTTCCTGACAGTGTTCCTGGCTATCCCCCTGGCCTTTGCTGCAGGAATTCTCTTTGCCACCCTCAGCTGTCTGCACATCTGGTGAGAACGGGCATAACGGGGTGGACAAGCTTTCTAAAATATAAGAATGTTCTTTGCCACCTGCCCTCTGTCCTTCCCTCTTCCAAGTGTGCTTGCCCGGGAAGGAATTCACATCAGCTCCAGATACAGTGATAATAATGGAAGACCTTGAAAGGCAGTGAGCTTTCTCTAGATTCATAGGTTGAGTTAGGAGTTTAAATAGAAGAAGGAATGTCCCTCTGTCCTCGGATGTGATTTTCCTTTGAATGCTAAGGCCCAGCTAACTGGAGTCCAAGCTTCCTGCCACAGGCTGCTCTCTCATGGGGCTGTGTTATGACTTGTGTCTGTGGTTTTGGGCAGGGCTCTTATTTATAACATCACCTTTTATTCAGTCACCACCTGTGCTTGGGGTAAAACAAAAGTAACCTCTGAGCAGAATGCCAGTGGCAATATCACTGGACAGGGATGTCAGACCTGTTAAGCAGTGCTATAGAGGAATGGCCAGGATGAGACCAGAGGAGATTCAAGGTGCTGCAGTTAAGATGAGCACCCCCCGCACCCCCTCAACCACAAAGGAATGAAAACTCAAACTGCAAGATAGTGAAATGAGAAGGCCTCCAAGTTAACTTTTTTTCTATGAGAAACAAATGGGAGTGGCATCTAGTTAAAGGGAAAATAAATACAGAAACACTGATCAGATGTTTTGAGTAACAAACACAAAATGCATCACATATCTTTGGAGAACAGTTAAAAGCATTGTAAAATTTTTAAAGGAAAATGTCGTATTTTACCAAGAAGTTTGGTTGTTTTACAGGATATCCACTTGAGGAAGAACATTCAGATTATCTCTAGTATGGCAACAGTTGCCGAGCTTGTGCTTTAGGGCCTTCCTGGTGAAATGTATAACTCCAGATGCCTCCGTGCCTTTCCCAATCACTTTATATGGTATTTGCTACACCCTAACACAGACCATTGTTAAAAGTTATAAAGTTATTCTCATTCCCCTTTATCATCTGAATCAATTTCGTTAGTCAGTTAGCTAGCTGTTTAGTGCAACCAAGGAAATTTATTGAATAGTTTGTGTGGGGCACTGGGCCCAGGATGAATAAGAGGATCTGCCTTCAGCTTCCTCCCAGTATATCAGGGCACCTGGCTAGGTAGAAGTGGGTACTGAAGAAACTCACTTAAATCTGTCAAAGAGGAGGGAGACATGGGGAAGGTTTGTAGAGTGAAGAGTCTTAAAAGGCTTTTAAAGAATAAATAAAAATTCACCAAATAAGTAAAGGATAAACAATGAATACCAATTCTTTTGATCATTAAAGGTTATAAACAACTAAACTATGTTGAAAGTGCCAAAAGACTGACAAAGAAATGAAAATCTTTGCCTTTACACATCAGCAGATCCACAAAAGCCAGATGTATACAGGTAGCTCATATTTTGACATTTAGCACATAGATTTTTAAAGATGCCTAAGTAGCCTATAAAATTTTGGATTCCTAATTATCTAAACCTCTATGTCATTTTCTCACTTTCGAAAATATGAAAAACTGAGTAACCACAAAGCATATTAAGAAGTGTTGACTATGAAGGTATTTGGAAATATAGAGTGCCGTGTTTATAGTCAACAAAGCTAGGTTTTTCTAAAGCACTTGTGGAAGAATTGAAAACAAAAGCATTCTCATTTTCTAAATGGTGGAAAGATACAAGTAAAACTACAATTAACCAAATGATGCTTCTTTCCACCTGGCTCTCCTGAGAATGATAGGCGTTTTTATGTAGTGCTTCCAATGGTGAATCATCAAACCACTTCTTTTTCAGCCACATAAAATGTATTATTTAACTTTAGCTTGTTTTTCAAATTACATTCATGTACGACATTAATATTTAACCATCATACATTTGTCATCAGGCAGCCGTGATTGCAAGTAGAGGAGTAACTGCAAATAAAATGCTTAAAAGTTAGTTTATACCTCGATTAAACAGATTTATCATTAATAGACTACATTCCTGTGACACGGTAAGAATGGATCAAGGAGAGGCTTTATAGGAGAACAAACCTGTTTCTCTTTATTTTCTGTCCTTTTTCTTTTTTTTTCTTTTTTGATAAAAGGTGGGGGTTTATTGTTTTACCAGGAAGTTTGTGACCAAAAACTGAAAATATGAAGTAGTGGGTTTTCCAACCACATCACATTATCACAAACTGATCCAATTTCAGATTCTTTAAACAAAACAACAGCAACACAACAACAACATCAACAAATACCCAGAACTCAGTCTGGTGATGTTGTACCTACGTCATTAGGATCCAAGTCTCCTGAGACAGCCTCCAGTTGGTAACTGCAGGTTATTGGTCATAAGTAAATCATATCAAAGAAATGTGGCTGGAGCACCCTTACCCCTTATTTTTGCTGGGATGCAATTCAAACGCGTGGTCCCACTGATGGGAATGCAATAGTAGCAGCTTCATTTCCCAGAAGCAAATTGCTATAACAATGCAATCTGCATGACGCTATAGTTAATACAAAGCTAAATAAAAGTCTTTGTCCTAAGCGCTTTATTATTCAATAGAGGAATATATAATCTTATAAATTATCAGACTGGATCAATTCAAATTGCCTGGAGTTTCAGAAAGGGAGCTATTTGGGATGTTGAGGACGTGATTTCATTCTCAGAGGATCATTGGGTCCTCTGATCCGTAGTGAGAGAACAACTTAACAACTTAAAGAAAATAAAATTAAATGAGCGCACCACATCCTATGAACAAACTGAAGTTCTTGAATGTGGGCTCTGGCACTCTGCTGAACTGGAAAATCTACTTTTGTCCTGAGTTTAATTCCCTCTTAGGACATGGGCACCTAACAAGTTATGGGGATAGAAAATTCCTTAGCCTAAGGAAGAAAAGAAAGTGAAATATTTTCTGAATGAAGTGGATTTGGTTAAGAAGCTTTCTGATCTAAACTTAAGTCTTATAGTTTGTGAATTTGAGATTATTTTGTTATAATTGTTTTCATTATGTATTCTGACTTCGAAATAGTTCTATTTATTATTCATTATAATGACAGCATTATATAGACATCTCAAGGGTGCATACGTGTTAATGCTGATAGCCAATCTGTAAGATTTCCTGTTCTTACTCTAATTTGTAGTGATTTACCCAAAGCCACAGATAAAATGAGAAATGTAATGGAATAAGAGGTCAAAAGTTGCCATCATTCAGATTTATATTCACCTATTTAGCTCTGAAACACCTAGTAATTAATTCTCTTTAAAGATTGCTTCAAGTCTTTAGCGCTTGGAACAAAACACAAGTTAAGACAATATGAATAATTCAGTATTCTAAAAATGACCCGGTCAGACAGTTCTCTTATCTTTCCTTCACTTTAGGCTAAGTACTACAGACTTTTATTTAAAATTACATTTTAATAGCAAATCAAGAAAATCAACCTTATTTCCTTGTACCTACCCAGGTAATAGTAAAAATTCCATTGAGGCTATGAGCAATGCCTGAGAATTTACGGACATTTCTGTGCTTAAAGAGCAGAGCACCACTGCAACAGAAAACATTACTGAGAGGATTATACAGAAAACCAGCCTGAGGAATATGAGAATATGTAGTTATGTTAAGAAAAGGCATATGGAAAAAATAATTTCAGAAAAGTCAAGTTTTTCCTGCCTAAGAGTTCTGATATCATTGCAGGGCTCTTTTAACTATACCACACAGCCTTTTTCAGTGTATATAATTACTGTGGAAAATAAAAATAAACGATAACAGAATGATAAATTCACTTCAGCTCCAACATTTACCAAGGGTCAAGGATGGCCTCACTTAAAGAACTTCTAGTAGAAAAGACAGAACCATTAGGCTTAATTTATGATACTTTTTGGTAAATTTGAGCATTATGAAGTTTGTTTCAGTACTTTAGAAACACAAAGAAAAGGAGTGTCCAACCCTGCCTGGCCCAGGGGAGAGGGAAGCAGAATGAGGTGACAGGAAAGGCTCAGGAAATACAACCACAGGGAAATATGAAGAGTTTAGCAGATTAATGTTTAGGGGCAGAGATCCGGTGGATAAATTCACTATTTTATTTATTTTTTTGTTTTACTGATTCAGATAGCACCAATGGAAACGTTATTGTTTCTCATCTACATGCCTGTTTGTTTCTTTAAGCAGTATGTCTTCTGTGTATCTCATCATTATGTAGGTCATTTTTATTTATTTGTTTCAAATGTTCAGCCAAATTTAGATGAATTAGGCCATTATTATATCTTTTCACACATATGCAAGAGTCAGTGGCCTTATTTAGTAACACCAATAATCCTTATACATCTGTCTTCCTCCATTCCAGGATTATAATGCCTTTTGTCAAGACCTGCCTAATGGTCCTGCCTTCAGTGCAGACGATATGGAAGAGTGTGACAGATGTTCTCATTGCCCCATTGTCCACGAGTGTAGGACGCATCTTCTCCTCTGTCAGCTTGCAACTGAGCCATGACTGAACACTTGGACACCAGGTCTGGAGATTCGGATACTGTAATACTTTCTTTGTTGTTATAACATAAAAACACTACTGTTCTGTTCATTCCCCAACTGTTCTAATTAAGAAAACTGTTAAGATGGGAAACCACAGTTAGAAATGTTATTGGCAAATCTTTCCAAATAATGCTTTTCTCATTAATAATCAAGGATTTCATGTCTAACTTTATAATGAGAATATTGCAGTAGGTTGGCACTTAATTTTAAAGGCAGACAGTTTTTGCTTTAGTATAAAAATATACATTTTATCATGATGAATTTATTATGATCAAGGGACATTTCTCACAAATAATATAATGGTTTTATCTACAACTGTCATAAAAATAGAGCATTTCTTTCTTTCTTTTCTTTTCTTTTTTTTTTTTTTTTTTTACCTCTGGAAGTAATATTTTTTAAATTGCCTTGGCAGGTAAAGTCATGGACATACTTAGCAGAAATAAGATATACAAATATCCTAGAGATTGCAATAACGAAACTGTACAGTGGTGATAGGGGCTATCAAATATAGTAAAATAAATGTGAAAATAGATTCAAGCAAATGGGTTCCTTTAAATAAGATATTGTTAACCTATGGGCCTATTTAACAAGATGTTTTATTTTACTGTATATTTTGCACTTAATATTAAATGTTGCTCTAATTAGATGGCTTTAAAGCACTTTTATTATATTTATGATCTTATTGAGCTAATATATAGAATGAGTAAATGTATGTTTCACCAGGAACTTCATTGGTGAGATTGCACTGTCTTGATTATGTAAGCATATATATCTTCTCTGGGGATAGAATGTAAAAGAGCAATATACTAGGCTTTTCTTTCTAACTTTTCCAAGAAAAACCCTGAAATGTTTTATAATTAATGTTTATCTGGGTGTGATCTTAAAATAATCTGTATCTAATTCTTATTTCGTCTAGCCAGAAATTCAACATGTATGCTGCATTCCTGTTAATGTTTCACTTTATCTTCAAGTAATATTGGTGCTATTTAATAATATTTTACAATAAAGGCTATTTCTGACACATAAGTACAATTTTAACTACAGTGATTCATGTAGATTTACAAGAAAGTTGTCAACTTGTTGGGCCCATGCTACTGATTTATATATAAATTAAACACTAACAGCTACAAACTTTTAATATGTTGTCTAATATGGGTTTTGTTACACAGTATAAAATTATTATCATTTTTGAACTTTAGAATCCTATTTCAATGTTTTCAGTCACTGTTGTCTTAAAAATCTCATTATTCCAAAATGATAGACATATACAAAAGTTGCCTATGTTGTGAGTGGTTCCTATAATTTACACAACTTAAAAGTGTATAAATGCTCAAATTTCAGAATTACTCTCAGAACCTGAATTAACATTCCTTTGAATATCTTCATGGATGACAAATATTCTCTCAATGAAGATTAATTTTATTTTTCCATATTGCCAGGACTAGTAAATATAAAGGATGATCAAACTGGAATACTATTGGGGACCAGAGCAAATGAATAAATTATGAAACTCATTTTTTTTTTGAAGGTAGCCTCAAAAGAGACTTTTTAAAACTATCTTAGGCCATTACAACATCTTTAGGAAAGGCCTCATGATTATTACCTTAAAGCATTACCACTCACTTGACTGCTTAGATTTTATTATGTTAGTTAAAAAGGTCAATCAGTCTCATGACTTTATAATTGCAGCTTGTATTTAAAGTGTTTTTTTAAAAAAACATTTGGAAATGTCGAATGGCCAAAGTATTTGATTAATAAAATATCTATTTAAATAAATCATGAGCTTCTGTCTTTTCAAATAGCTACTGGCAAGTTTTAAAGTCAAAATATATACACAAAGTCATATAACAAAACCTATTAACTTTTAACAAGTGACACATATGATTTCCTGATTTCCGAAAAGCATTGAATACTTTCAAAATGAATTTTTATTGAGATTTGCCATTAACTGTTTCAAATACTGAAATTTTGTACCAAGCGGATCCAGGTTTCATATGCAAACATGTCTGTTCTTTTAGCCAGTGTCGGGGAAAGGTAGGTAACAAGACTTTCCCAATATCCGTAATAAACTTTCTAAAAACTCATAAAATATATTTATTGCTTTTATTATATTAAATATAGAACTGATCAATAAAGAACCTTATTAAGTTAATTTTACCTTATTAATAACTCATAACAGATAGAAAAATACATGAGTTAGTGTTTATTCAGGAATATATTTGTGAAAAAATTATGAGATTGATAATTTAATTCTGTTTTCCCAGCACTTAAAAGGGTTCCCTTTAAATTTTTCTATCACTTGATGAATAGTATGGAATAACTTGTTCACAAACCCATCATATTTCATCTTCTTCATGAAATAAAGTATCTTGCTAATCCTAAATAAACTGATATTTCTGTTTTTAATTTTTTAAGTAAGAAAGTAAAACAATATAAATCACATGTACTTGAATACTGGTACCATGAAGCCTGACTAGGTTCCAAAATTATTTTTGGAAAGTGAGTATATAAAGAGTAGTTGCTGATATTGGCATAGATTTTCTTGTCAGTTAATCTGGAAAACTGACCAACTTCTAATAACAAAGCAGGTGTTGCCTTTTTAAAATACTCTTTATAGTTTCAACAAACTTTTAAAAGTCTCTCTTTTCAATAGTTATGCACATCCCATGAATTTATTTAGAGGCCTTTCTTGGGAAACTGTTGGCACACAGTGCAACGTACATATGATGTATTATTTAATCATACACTTTAAACCTATTTGATTTTATTAACCAGTGTCACCTTTAATTTTATAATTTTAAAAAAATCTCAAAAAAAAAGAAGACAAAGAAGAAGAAGAGCCCTACCCTCCAGGTCAAGCATTTGGATTCCAGTCCCAGCACTTTGATTACTGAGGTCTATCGCCTCCTGCAAATGGTTTAATCTCGGAGGTCTCAATTCTCTTATCTTCAATGAAAAGATTGGACTAAAGTATCTCTTGGGAGCATTCTAACTCATTGTTTTCTGTGACTTCAGTAGGGTGGAAACTTGGCTATGTATATATGCAAACCAATCTATCTGTTCAGTCCAGGAATTTTTAAAACTCATAAATTTTCTATCAATTAGAGGGCTGGTGTGCTTCAAATACAATAGTTAATACATTTGCTTTCACTCTTCGGTTGATTATGAGACTGTGTATGTAGCTTTGGTTCTTTGTGACAGGGATTTCTAGATTTATAACAATTCTAAGCCTTTATTATTGTGAAATTTTTCATCAAAATAATACATTACTCTGTATTTTAAATTAATTAAAATTAATTTTATTTGAAGATTTTTCTACCAAAATCAATGCTATACCACCATAATCATTGCTGTCTTCATTTTTGGCCTGGCTAGTTACCGCAATCTCTCAACTGGCCTCACCCCCAACCTTCAGTATGATCGTCTCCAATCCATCTTCCTCTGCAAAAAGAAAAAAAAAGTGCTCACATCAAGACTCTCATGTCATTCTCCTGCTTAAAACTATCAATTGTATGTGTGATTGCCCTTAGAATAAAATCCAGACACTTGAGTAATGTATTGAAGGCCTTCCCTATCAACCCATTGTCATCTTCGGCAACTTCTTCCTGCAGCCCTCATTGAGGTGCCCATGCTGCTCCTGGGTGCCTGGCTCTCTCCCATCCTCATGCCAGAATCACTCTTCTCCTCATGGCCTGTCTAATCCCTCTTGTTTCTAAAACTCCTCCACATCAAGTACCTCTTCTGTGCCTTCACATAAAATCTTGTACAAATCTCTATTATGATTTACCATACAGTAAAATTAACCCCGTTAATGAACCCCACTAGACTGAAAGTTAGGTCTAAAAAACGTGACTTCATTCTTGTTTCCTGGGATTCTAAAATGGTACCAAGCACACAATGAGTTCCATCAATATTTTCGGAATGAATGACTATGTGAATAAACAATTAAAAACTTGGGGTGACTTCTGAGCCAGAGTAAGAATCACATTTGACTTCATAATTTTCTTCATTTGTAAGAGTGGTTTGAAATGTACTGATTCTAATAAGATTTTTCTTCGCACCAGTTTCTCAGTCAAGGATCATTAAGTTAGTAAAACTAAAACAAACGTAAGCATTGCAGGTGTATTTTCATCTTTTGGGATATTGCCAGTTCTTATTCTCAATTCTCTTAATTTTATCTCACATCTTCAGGGGTAGGAAACACTAACACTCAGAAACTGGTTTGGAAACATACTTTTTGGCAGTTTAGAATGTTGCTCTTTCTTTTATTATGCTATTTCCTATTTCAAAATTTATAATACTGAAACATTTTTATAGCATTTTACAGTTTAGAAAACACAGTCCCATATATTGTCTCATTTGAATCCAGGACAAATTAAATGGCATAGTGGTGAAATCTTATAAATAATCAGCTTGCAACTTTGTTATTTTAGAATGTTTCTCTAAGATAACAATGGCCCAAAGAATTTTTACAAGATTGCACATTACTTTAAGAAACTTTAAAAGAATAAAAAAAAGTAGGTAGTGCTGTAATGAAAAATTACCACTGCTACATCAGGATTTGGTATATTTTCTTCCTTCAAGGTATATATGTATGTAGGGAGGACAAGGGAAGAAACTGGAGGAGGATGGAGCAGAGGCTAAGGATATACTAGATAATCAGGAGTAAAAATAATTTGGGCTTCCATAATTTAATCATCCCAATTTTCCCTCCCTGATCACCTTCGAATTACCAAATGAGCAAAAGAAGGCATCTGTTGTATTTTTAAATCATTTTATACTCACTCTTCAGCTTCTTTCTTCGAACTGCATCTGAAATGCCACCATTGGAATCTTATACCTAGATGTTTGTTTAAGTGAAAGATACCCTTTAGGTGGGGTAACGTTTCAATCTGTTAGCAGTCGATCGTTACTTCAGTATGAATGGACGTTCTAAAAGGAGATACTGAAAACTACATAAAAGACCCAAACATGAGGGCCTTGAGCAGAGACTGTATGAGAGCACCATACACTGATTAAAAGACAGCCACCAAACAGAAAATCAGGACAGAAAAGGGAAAACAGAAGTCTCCAATGACACAATCCTCATCTTTCGCAGTTTTGCTGTTGGACTCCTAGTAAAGGGGCAATGGAAATAGAACAGGGATGGAAGGATTTGAAGTCAGCTAAAGACTTTTCAATAAAGGAAAGTTGTCTATGTTTTAGTGAATGAAAAGGGCCCTGGGAGAGGTGTGAGGGCTCTGCGAGAACCATGTCCCCTGAAGAGAATTGCAGAAGAGCAAAAGTTAAAATGAAAACTGAACTACAACTTGTAACCATCTGTCTCTCTATGCTGTTGACTGCTGCAACATATCTGTAGCAAAGAAAGGAGACCATGCAGCAGTCAGAGAAATCAGAGGACACCACTTCAACAATTATCCAAAAATAGGACAGAGACACCTATCTGCCTGCACTAGGACGTGTTAGGTCACTCAGCTTAGCTGCATGGCTGGAGAAGTCATTTTGCCATTATAGGAAAAGGTAGGGGTGGAGAATTATGAAAAAGGAAGAGACATGATTCAAAGTGAGAAATGGCACGTAACCCAGGGTAAATATCTCTCCAGACATAAATGGATCAGGAGGAGATCAGAGCAATAGGTCATCTCTGGAGTATTCTCTTCTTTCCCTGTCTCTGAGTAGCTTGTCATCAAGCACCTGCCAGTAACAAAAGGGGTAAGAAGGGCAGTAAGCAGGTCCTGCTTCTCTAGCTGAATGGCACAGCAGTTCCAGCCAACTGCTGGCTCAGCTAACTGGGGCAGTGAAACAAGGAATCATTTGGAAAGTTGCAGGGATAAACGCACCATTACCCAGTGGGTCAAGTGACAAGGATTAACATGCTTCTTTTACTGGGAAGGAAATGGGTTGGAATCTTGATCTCTGGTACAAACAATAACATTTATGTTCGAGCATTTATTATCTGCTGGGTATTTATTTAATCTGCACAATAACCCTATGATGTAGGTTCTCTTATTATCCCCATTTTTCAGATGAGAGAACTGATGCCCTGCAGTTGAAGAATTTTCCCAAGATCACACTGGAAGTCAGGATTTGAGCCAAAAGAATCTGACACCAGATTTCAAGCTCTTAATCCCTATAGAGATTATCAACTATTTCTAGAATGTGTGCATGGTTGTTCTTTCTTTTTTATTCATCATTCAGTCATGTCACCTTTCATACTCTGAGAAGCATCTTTTTTTCCATTTCTCCCATCAGTGGAGTAAATTCCAAATCCTCAATGGTTAGAGCTCCCCTCATGTTGGTATCTGGGCTCCCTGTACTCTCCTCACCTGCCCCCTTTCTAATCCTTGAGCCTCTCCCAGCCCAGTATTCTGCTTTCCTTGGCACACTCTTTTCTTTTCTGTATGATCTGTGCTCTAGGCTCTAAACTCCAGCTAATGTCAAAAAAGGTGTTTTTTTTAAATGTCATTATTCTCATGTTTTGTAAATTTCATAAAATTTAACTACTTTTAACAAACTTTCTTAATATGTATAAAAAACACAATGATGATATTTCTCAATACTAGACACCTGGACACAAAATATTAATAATTCAGTAATAATTTCTATTTAAACAAAGCATATATTTTTCTAGATAAGGGCCATATTTTATATTTTTATGTAGTTAGAATTCTTGTTAGTTTGTACATCTTTAAATATGCGATGCAATCTTATTGTCAGTTATTTTATTTTGGAAATCCCAAGGAAAAACCGTATGCAAATTTAATTTCCTCCTATAGAATAATTTGCTCATGATAAATTTCCAAAGCAGAAAAACTGGATTTATGTATCCAATCATATTAATGGCTTGGTTATATATTATCGTACTGCTTTCAATAGTTTTTTACAATTTATAATTGCAATAGCAGTGTATGTGTGATAGCTTCTCTACACATTATCAGCATTTGTATGTATATATTTATATGAGTAAGAAGTTATATATATACAAAAATATCTCCATACACATATGTAATTTTTACTAAGGTACTAGATGGTATTACTGAACATTATAGGATTCCATTTTACACGTATAAAATTTTAATAAATATTTTTCTATAGTGATAATGAGTATTGTGATCCCCATGCTCATTTTTTTCTCTAATTTTTCATTCACGTCTAATATACTAATGCTGCCTCTCCTTTGCAATAATGATCATGCTGGACGCTTATCATAGGGTACGAACTTTGCATTTCTCATCATTGGCAATGGCCACTGCAGATCCAGCCACCCTTCTTTTCCTTTCCTCTTTCTTCTCCTCCCTGCTCTAATCCAGGCTAGTTAATTGAATATTTTAGATGTCTTTGAAGGGCGAAGGTTTACAACGTTTTACTATGACACAAAGAAAAATTAATTGGATCACAAAATATAATCTTGTTTTCTTTAGAATTTTGTCTTAAATGATCTAACAAAGTTTAATATTCTTTCTGATTGAAACTCTGTAAACTACAATGTGCCAAAATAAAGAAATCACCAGATGAAAATGTCTGTAATGACAAATTTTTTTACTTACATGTTTTCTCACAAAAAGACAACAGTAAACTAGTTAATATAAAAATAAGGAGCAATATTAAAAATAAGAATACATGATACTGAAATGCATAAAAAGAAGCATAAGACTCAAACAAATCTTCCTCTACAGTTTACGTGTGACCTGGCTGAGAAATCACAGGAATAGCACACATTATTTAGGGTTAGATAATATAAACAAGATGAAAATCTCTACAAAGTATCTAGCATATTTAATCAATTTCATGGGCTCCATGTGCAGGGTCCATGCAGGGAGTGGAATGATTGGAGAAATGGACATGATCAAAGTATTAGGAAAAAAAAATAACAGCAAAAAAAAATTTGTTATCATGTAGAAGAAAAAAAAGGGCAATCAACTGAATTATTTATATATATTTTATTAGACAAGAGGAAGATTTTCTGATGATTAAATATTTGAAAATAGACTTTTATAAAAAGAACCAGAGTTGTCAATATTACTTGTTCTAAAAGTGGTTAAATAGACATCTGAAACATGAAAATATTGTACGAAGACGATTTTATTAAAACTACTTTTTTCTGAGAGAGAGAAAACCTAAGTGGAGTTGTCTTAAGTGATAATTTTATTAGAGTAAGCACACACAACAAAATCGTGATCATAAATATATCTGAACAAGGGACATGGTAAAAAAAATATTTGTAAAATATTTTTCCTGGAAGAACTTTGAGAATGATGAGCATTGATCTATTTGGGACAGATCAGAGGCAAGCAGGTTCTACCCTGCATGATAGACTAGGGATTCATTTAAAACTTTTATGATTCTTAGAGTTGAGGCAATATTCAGAACTGGAAAGGAAAATCGCTCACATTTCTAAAATGTGCAATGAAGTTTTCTCAGCATGAAGGGCTTCATGGCACAGGATAGGTTCCGGCCACTTCAAAGCAGTCCCTAAGGAACTACTCTGTCGTCTTATAAATGTAATACTCCAGTGCTGCCTCAACTCTTGCCACAGGCCAATACATTTTGGGTGTGGCTAATATGAGAGTTTAATATAGCTCAAGCTCTTCCGTAATCAAAAAAAATAAAAAAATTACTTGGCTGCTCCCCAGTTCGTAATTCTTGATTTCACATTCCAAGAAGCCTTCGGTTTATAAAAATGAAAAGAACTGCCAGTTCCCTGCTAGCAACTTGGCTAACTTAGCTTGTAAGGGTTCCCCCTTAAACGATGCTTCCTTCAATTTGCTTACAAATATTTCTTCAATAGCATGTTACTTCCTCTTGTGGAGGAATTGGGATTCCCTGCAAGTCATCCAAGCTGCAGTTTTATTGCTCTTCCCATGATGTAAAGGGCTCTTTTATGCATGAATTTGTCTGAGTTTTTCTTCCTTCATGGTTCTTATATAGGGCAGTGGTATTTGTGGGCATAGCTTCTGTCTTTTAAAATACCTTCAGAAAATGTGTATTTTCAAGTTTCCCCTAGATCACTACTTCTCAGAGTTTAATATACATATGAACAACCTGGGGATCTTGTCAAAATGCAGATCTGGATTCAGTAAATCTGAAACTGGGCCTGAGATCCTGGTTTCTAATGAGCTCCCAGGTCATGCTGATGTTGATGTTGATGCTGTGGGTCCCTGCACCACACTTCGAGTAGCAAGGCTCTAGAAATTATCTTGAGAAAGACGTGGAGAGAGATGAAGATGAAGTAGCTGCAGACAGAGAAAAGAAGAAGTGACAGAGAAATCATTTTTTGGCTCCATAAAAAATTTATAATTCCACACACATACCCGCTTTAAAACACATTCACATTCTTTCCTAAGTAAGCTGAATTGATTGAAGGCAAAGCCAGTAGTGCAAAATTAAAGCCCATCCTCTGGTATGTACAAAAGCTGATGTTGCAATCACAAATTTTCTCTGGAATTAGTGAAAAAACAAACTCATCAACTGATTACGAGAAAGTAAAGGTCTCTATAAAAACAAGATGACTTAATGACCAGTCAATAACATATATACTTTTTAAAGAATGAAATACTTTATGATTAAGCATCATTGCCTTGAAGGTAGTGGTTGTAGAGATAAATTTCCCCCAGGTAAAAGCAACTCCTGGTAAATAGTTTATTTACTAGGGAAAGGGCCAAAAGGAAAGAGAGTTTCCTTTGTTAAATAATGGAGCTCTGACCTAAAGCCAGATGGGTTGGTATAAAACAAAGGGCTTTTGTAGAGGACTCCTTCCAAATATTTACAATAACTTAAGAAAAATGTACAATTTTTAAATATAATTTCACGGTAATATCCAGAGGCTAATATCGTTTTTATCTTTATTATTTCATTATAGTTAAAATAGAATGTTGAAATTAATGACTTGTTAAAATAATATACGTGATGTTTCTACTATGCTGCTTAAACATTCTAATGGTATACTATAAAATGGTAAATATCTTATATTATATCGTACCACATTATAGTTCATTATCCTATTAAATTTTTTGAGAGTCACACTTTAAATAAGATTTATGGAATCTCTATATTTCTAAAGGGTGGTCACAATTTTGTTTCACTTGAATAGGATATTTAGTCATTGCTCATATATCTAAATACTCTACTTCTCTCAACCAGATGTAATATAGTAATCTGGTTCACAACATGACCCCAAAATTTTTGAAAATTCCTATGGCCAAGCCTTATATTAAATATTTTCAGGTTTGTATTAGATAGGACATAATTATTACTTTTATTACTGATATAAATCTACCTAGATGAAAGTAATGTGCTAAATATATATTTACCTCTCGCTTCATGCTTTCTGAATACATTAACCCATCGAATATGTTAATGTTTAGACTAAGACTTCCTCTCTTTAAAGAATGCTAAAATAATTATTTTGTTAGCAGTTACTAAAATAGTCAAGGCAGGTAGATAACCCATTTTCATGGCAGTTGGTTTGATTTCTTATATGTCATCATGATGAGATGATAAATTACTTGGAATTTTGCATGGACTTAAAGCACAATTTAAAAAGAAGTCAATGCAATTATTGTTTGTTTATCGTTCAGTATTTTTTCAAAGTTTGGATTTACTTGTATGCTAACAAATCATATTGTGTTATGATTGTGTTTTTAATGTAATTTGTGAAAAATACTGAAAAATTTACAGATAAAATAAAAATCAAGTCTGTAAATTTTGAGTACTTTTAGAGATAAAATTTTGCTACATTTTCAAAGAATCACAAATTTCATCAGATTGAGTTCTAAATCCAAAACAATAATAATGACGATGACAATAAGATGATGTAAGACGATGGTCTAATTTTTTGAAAGTACGTTAAATTGTCAACTACCTGAAAATCACATTCTGTTTTAAGACAAGAGAATGTATCTTGTAACCTGTCTGGGCCCTCTGCCAAGCATTATAATTGAGAATCCTTATATAGAAGTTTGCATTTAATTTAAGATTAAGGGATTTTTTTTGGAAAGATTTTTAATGCTATATAAAGTTTTCTGAGAATGAAATAAAAGATGTCAAAGGGTATATCTCAAGTATTATATTAAAACATCGAAAATTGAAAGCCAAAAACCAGCCTTTACTGACTAATTCATTTGATGTAGATTTGAGCTCTTTACACTTTGAAGTATTCACACCCTTGCCAGGACTTCAACATTAATGAATTTACTTCTCCAACCTTTGACTTTGGGCTGGGTCACATCATTTGCCTTGGACAACAGAAAGAGGCAGAAGTGTTGATGTGCCATTTACAAATCTAGGCTTCTAGGAGCCTTGCATAATTTTTGTTGTCCTCTTATCTAGCTGCTACTTCTTAGATCATGAGACGAATCTGCCCCAACTCAGGTGCTGGGCCATGGAGAATGAGAGACGTATGCAGCAGAGCCAGCATAGACCTGCAGTGAGAAGCAGAGCTACCCCAACCACCTCAGCCAAGATCAGCCAAGCCCCAGCCTACCCAACCCACAGATCTGTGAGAATAAATGGTTATTGTTTAGAGCCACTGAGTTTTATAGTAGTTTATTCATGCCAGATTAATGTAGCAATAATTGATACACCCTAAAATTCAGTTTTAAAATTTGTGTTGAATATATGATGGGAAAAAAGATTGTTTACATCATCTTTCCTTTTTAATTAGCTGTTGTGACATCACTCAGACACGGCCATAAAGCTTCATCTGTACTAATTTAGGATTTACAATACCTTTACCAATTTTAGGTAGGACACCAAAAAGAACTGTACTTTTCTACACAGGATTTGCTACCAAAAAGTTTTCCCAAGAAAATTAAAAAACCAGTCAGATTGATTTGATCTTAGTAACAAAAGATTTGATAAGATAATTGTAAAGTAAACTGACATAGTGGTAGCTAAAGGCCAGACATATTATTCCACAATCGATATTTTGAGTTAATTAGAAGGATAAAAGTCCTAATGCAAGGCTATCAATAAAATATAACTATTGGCAGAAATTCTAAAATTATATATTTGGAATTTAAGTTTAAGGATTTGCTCTAGTTCAGAAATGCCAGATACATATT